AGTGGGAGAGGTAGGCATGGGCGGGGTAGGGTGGAGGGCTGGGGCGCGGACCTAGGAGGCCCGGGCCGGGGTGAGGGTACGGGGAGGACCATTGGTGGTAGCCGTCATAGGATGGTCGGGGGTGTGATCCGGAGTGTCGACCACGACCACGTCCACGGTTGCCGCCGATGCGATTCATCTGCCGTCCATAGCTGCCGGTTCCCCGTCCACTGCCGCCATAGGAGTTTCTGCCCAGATTGCTGCTGCCCATCTGCTGTCCACCACCTGCGCCACTGCCGCCTGCGCCACTGCCACCGTGGTGGCTGCCGTGTGCTGAGGTGGTACGGCCAGCAACCAGCGCTGTACCGTCGCTGTCCGCGGTGCCTTGCTGCCGATCCAAAAGCATGAGTGCTGAACGAGTTTGAAGAAAATTGGGTAGCGGATCTTGGAATTGAAGAAACGACGTTTGAGCCTGTAAATCCATAGGCAGTCCACGGAGCATTTTTAAAACCAGTTGAGACTCGGAAACAGGAGCATCAACATCATCAAGCCAATCAGCGATATTCCTCAAGGTTTGGCAGTAGGTTGCCATGGTCATGGTGCCTTTGACCGTGGTTCGAAACTGGTGCTCGAGTTGCATGGCTCGAGCGTGTTTGTTGTCATGAAAAAGAGCATGAATGACCCGCCATAAATAAGAAGCGGTGGTGGCAGAAGAGATGACTAGATCGGAGACTTCATCGGTGATGGTTGAAAGAATCCATCCTTGGAGTAGGGCATCAAGTTGAAACCATTCAGCATCATCAGAGGAGGAGGGAACATGAGAGCCGGTGAGAAAACCCTGAAGATTGAAACGTTGAACAAGGAGCATGAAGAGACGACTCCATTTTTTGTAGTTGGGTTGAGAAAAGCTGAGTTGAATGGGGACGTGAAGTTTGACGTTAGATATGGTGGTGAAGGCGAGGTGAGGAGAGGCCGGAGAAGAAGCCGGAGTCTCGGATGAAGTGGTGCTGGCCATGGTGAGTTGGCCGCTGGAAGCCGCTGTCAAGAGGGAGAGAAGGGCGGCTGGTTTCTGGTTGAGGCAAATCCGAGAGAGAGAGAGGTGACGGGAGAGGGTGGGTTAGGGTTTGTGTGTGTATGGCTCTGATACCATGTAAAATTGGTATTTTCCTTGATTGATTCAATGCATGATACATCATTTATATACAAGAGTAAGGTATCCTAAATATGGTAGGAGTAGGAGTATGGAAACTAATATATTTACAATAATAATTAGAAAATATACTTTACTTAAATATAATATAATATATTTAACAGAATGTTTGAGAAACCTTGGTCCCAAAGACTAAAGAAGAATATGATGAAGAGGATGCCAAAAAGGTAGAAAACTATGGTAAAAGCAATAAACATGATTTATTGCATAGTCAATCCAATTGACTTCTCAAAGATCTCTAGTTCCTGTGTGACCAAGGAGATGCGAGACAAACTCGAGTTCACATATAAAGGTACGAATCAAGTCTGAGAAGCTAAAATGGATTTTCTAACCCCTGAATATGAGTTGTTTTGTATGAAGGAAAATGAGAAGATCGATGAGATGTTTGATTGGTTTTCAAAAAACATCAACGATTCCACACACTCAAGAAGGTATACACCAACAAGGAGATGTTGAGAAAAATCGTGCAAAGCTTGACTCCGAAATGGAACTCTAAAGCCGATGCCATTCAAGAGTCAATTGACATCAACGATGTCAAAATTGTCGAACTTCAAGGTAATCTTAAAAGTTATAAATCTACTATCCTTAACCCATATTCTAATGATCAAAGGAAGAAAGGGATAGCCTTGAAAGCCGCCTCACCTCAAGAACAATCGGAGGAGGACTGTAGCGAAGATGACAACGAGTTTTGACTCGTTATCAAAAAATTGCACGAATTCATGAAGAAGGAATTTCAACGAAAAGGAAGAAAGTAAGGAGGACCTCTAAAGTGCTACGACTGTGATGAAATCGGACACATAAAACCAAAATTTCCAAAGGCCAAGAATGGAAAGGAGAAAAACTTCTTCAAGAAACAAAAGGCATATATTTCATGGGGAGGCAACTCTGGAGAAGAGACAACAGACGAAGAGGAAGACAAAGCTGCCAATCTCTACCTTATGGCTCAAGAAAACAAAACTCAAGAGGTGTGCATGAAGGCTTCAAGTGTAATATGGTACCTTGATAGTGGATTCTTCAAGCACATGACTAGTAATGCATCAAAGTTCCTCTAAATCATATCCGGTAAAGGAGGAAATGTGATTTTTGGTTATAATAACAAAGAAAAAATCATTGGAAACAGATTAGTTGGTAAAAATGAAAATTTTTCTACCGAATATCTTTTGTTGATTAAAGGTCTTAAACACAATCTCTTGAGCCTAAGTCAATTATGCAACAATGGAATTGTGTGGTGTTTGATTCAAAATCATGCATGGTGGAACACCTTAATGACAATAAGGCCATTCTTCGTGGTGATAGAATCGATAATATTTATATGGTTAACTTAGATAATACCACATCCAATTTCGCTAAATGCCTCACGAGTAAAGAGGAAGACATGTGGCTATGACATCGTAGAGTAGCTCATGTCAACATGGACCTTTAGTAATTGGGATTCCAAAACTTATGTTTGAAAAGGATTCAATATGTGATGCTTGTCAAAAGGGGAAGCAAGAAAGGGACTCTTTTAAATCCAAAAACGTTGTCTCAACGTCTAAGCCGCTTCAACTCTTGCACATGGATCTCTTTGGTTGTAGAACGAAGAGTTTTTGTGGAAATTACTTTGCGTTTGTATTTGTTGATGACTACTCTAGGTTTACATGGGAATTATTTCTAACTTACATGGAGATTATTTCTAACTCATAAAATTTTTCTTAAGAAAGTTCAAAATTAAAAGAGTCCACCGTCGTATCCATTATAGGCAATCATGGGTGCGAGTTGGATCGAAAATTTTGTTCAGATATTTGTGATGAACTTGGCATTGATCATAATTTCTCATCCCCACGTACACCACAACAAAATGGAGTGGTGGAACGCAAAAATAGTTGTCTCGAAGAGATGACTAGAACTATGATTAATGAGGCAAAAATTCCTAAGTATTTTTGGGCGGATGCTGTGAATACTGCGAGCTACGTGTTAAACTGAGCCGTCATTAAAGCGATACTCAAGATAACGCCTTATGAATGATACAAAGGGAGAAAGCCTAACCTTTCACATCTTTGAGTCTTTGGATGCAAATGTTTAATTCATAACAACTTCAAAGATAACCTGGGAAAATTTGATGCAAAGTTGGATGAAAGAATTTTTCTTGCTTATTCATTACGTAGCAAGGCATATAGAGTTTTATTAAACACCCTTTGACTGTTGAGTCCCCAATGTACTTAGACTCTCTTCCATAAATACTCTAAAAAAAGCCTTTGTTTAATCAATGCTATTTACCACCCTTTAGGGTATAAGCTTGGTTTGATACAAAGGAAGCCAATCTTTTATCGGGTGCGTTCCACAGCCACCGTACCTTAGTGGCTTCCCAAGCCACTTAAAATCTCCACCCTCCATCTTCTTTAATTTTAAATCTAAGGCTCCAATTTATTCATCAACAAATAACCCTCAATTAACCCCATCTTCACACCCGTCTCTTGGCCGTCTCCTTTCTCTCTCTCTAAACGAAGACTCCGACGATAAGCTCAGAGCCCAACCGGCGAAATCTATTGCCCGTCAGTTGCCAGCCCTACCGCAGCCCTTTAACACTTCGCAGGTACGATGCCTTCCATGGCTGAAATGTTTCGAGTTTTCTTTTCATTCATTAAGAAAACACTTGCTTCCACTAATGTTTTCCATTTGCGATAAACCATTATTCTTCAAGAATGATTTTTTCCATTTGCTATAAAGCCATTCCTGAAGAATGATTTTTTTGGGCTATAAAGCTATTAGATTTCCCATAAAGCTCTGTGTTTTTTTTTGCAAACGCTTAGGTCATTTAATACTTGTTCGTTCGGTATGTCGTGTCAAAAACAATGGCATCTCCAAAAACTTTGTATGCTATCCTTGAGCGAGCATCAACCCAAAAGAAATTAGACATCCTACCTTCATCATCAATTTGCATGCGATAAAAAAATCTAGGATCTAATTCTGATTGATGCTCACAATACTCGAGAACCCCTTGCGCATCACCAACATCAAGAATCTTAGACCTCACATCCCTCATATGATTGTAACAATTTCGCTTGGTAAATCGGCCTTTACCAAACAACTCTGCTACTTTACCAATTGGGATACCATGGTCCTTGAACAACTCAATAACTGCAGCACTGCTCTCTTCTATAGTAACTCCAGTAGGCACAAAGTGTGCCTTGTTCGGAGTAACAGCGGCATGATTATGCTCTTTTGTGAATGCATAGATAAACCACTTCTCACTCACTTTATCAAACTTCAAACTCAATGCATTCTTGCAACCTACCTTACTCGTAGATGTCTTTCTTTTCTTCTTTTCTGTTGCATTCCCATCTTTCACTTTTTCCTTGTGAAAACCGGCTTTGTGACACACCCACCTATAGTACTCATTCTCTCTGCTCGTGCGTTTTCTAATATGAAATCCATTGGCAGAATTGTACGCTTGGTAGAATTCCTCAAATTCTTCAACTGTGTCAAAACGCATTCCAACTACAGGATCAATTCCAACATATTTTTCATTGATTACTTTTGTCGGTGTTGTACATGACACATCGTTGAAACCATAAAGTGTACTCTCTAGACTCATACTCTGCTCCATTCCAAGAAAAAAAATCAGTTTTAAAAGGTACGAAAATCGAATAGTATAGCATAAAAAACTGTTAAAGGACAAGGGTTTGCAAACACAAAAGAACAAACTTTAAGTATTAACAAAACAAAGATAACAAAATTCAGTTTCTGCTTAATTTGAATAAAAGTTAAATGACCTAAGCGTTTGCAAAAAAAACACAGAGCTTTATGGGAAATCTAATAGCTTTATGGCCCAAAAAAAAATCATTCTTCAGGAATGGCTTTATAGCAAATGGAAAAAATCATTCTTGAAGAATAATGGTTTATCGCAAATGGAAAACATTAGTGGAAGCAAGTGTTTTCTTAATGAATGAAAAGAAAACTCGAAACATTTCAGCCATGGAAGGCATCGTACCTGCGAAGTGTTAAAGGGCTGCGGTAGGGCTGGCGACTGACGGGCAATAGATTTCGCCGGTTGGGCTCTGAGCTTATCGTCGGAGTCTTCGTTCAGAGAGAAAGAAAGGAGACGGCCAAGAGACGGATGTGAGGATGGGGTTAATTGAGGGTTATTTGTTGATGAATAAATTGGAGCCTTAGATTTAAAATTAAAGAAGATGGAGGGTGGAGATTTTAAGTGGCTTGGGAAGCCACTAAGGTACGGTGGCTGTGGAACGCACCCGATCTTTTATTGTCATTGGGCATGATGCGCAAGGTGCAATGTGGTTGAAGATTAAGCCTTCATTTCATATTTTTCTTTACCTCTATACCTTTAGGAATTATTTTAAAAACTCGTTTTTTTGTTCGAAACCCTTTGTGTATTCAATATTCCTAGTAAAAATATTTTTCAAAAATTGATAAATAAGAATAAACCTTGATAAATATTACCGACAATTTTTCTCAATTCAATTCTCAAATGTTTAAGCATCATTATGTATTGATAGTAAGTGTGGTTAGAGGTTGTTAAAACGGAAACGACATGAAAATCCCACCGCATAACCATTTTAGGGTTTATCAAGGCATCGTGATAATAATTATCAATGAAAAATAGACTACAATAGACCAGTGAAAGTAATAATGAATCTACATGTTAGAACTTACGCCCATTTGGGATCTGGAGCACCACAATCAGCACATACTCGATTATCACTTTGTAGCAAAAGGTCTTTCAATCTTCTTTTATCTATTTAAAATAATATGTTAAAATTGAAAAACAAAAGTATAATTTTGAACATATGGACAACTGCAGGGGCAATCAAGCAATAAACAACATAGAGTCAAATTTGCTCAAATTCAAAATCATACTTGAAGATGTTCCACTCATGGTTCTGAAAAACTATGTTGCTACCATCCAACTGTTGGAAATTATTGACCAAAAACCTGCAAAATCAAAATTTAGTTTAATGGAGAGCTCGAGACGCATTATAATGCTCTCTTCAAGGAATTATTTTTGGTACACCAAAAATATCCCCAAGATTTAACAAGCTCTTCAGTGGTTTGCTAGAATCAGAACAAACATGCAGAATTAATTCCTTTTTTGTTCATTTTTTAATTTAAATTATTTTTCTAAAAATTATTTCAAATGTATAATAAACATGCCACACACATTATAATTGTTAATTAACAAAAAACAAGAAAATTAACAGTATGCTTTGTTTATTTGAAATGGTATCATTTTATTTCATAAAACCTAAATAAAATTATTGAAGATTTTAACATAAAGACATAAACATGAGAAAGTGTTGCATGACACTTTTCCTACGAATCAACCAAGTGAGTAGATGCGTTTTCACACATTATTTCAAACACATTTAGAACAACAAGTCCTTCATCCCAATTTCCTTTTCCAACAAAGATATTTTTTTTGTCATAAAAACTTTGACGAAATCAAAGACATAATAAGAGTTGTTTTTCCTATTAGGCACGGAAGAACTAAGTTCGTTTGCATTTTGGGTTTAAGGTTTTTTTTAGGCATGAGTTTAATAAAATAATTCCATTTTCCATAAACCTTGGTGGTTTGAGAATCACCAAGGTGCATCAGTTCGTCAACATTTTCTATTGGAGAATAAAATAAATCTCCCTAGATAGAAGTAAAAAAGTATGAAAATACCAGAATAGAATTCCTATGTCATCTAAGACAAAAATAAAAGTATAATGTCAGTTTGATGTAAGTGTACGTGTTGGCAGTGTGATGGAAAAATGATGACAGTGTAATGTTACAGTGTGATTAGTCAACTTTCAGTGATCTATGGTGGCACTTTGGTGGCTAGTGGTGCCAGATGACAGTGTGTAAGTGATAGTGTGGTAGTGTCACAATGATAGTGTGAACTTCTATTTTGGTCTTAAAAGATATAGAACTCATATTTCTGTATTTTCATAGTTTTTACTCTTATCTAGCTAGTTCTCCCATAGAGTAAATTCTAAAGTTTGTCCTTTAAAACTAGGCATTTTCCATGTTCAGCCCTCGTTTGTGGGTATCTTTCCATGAATAGTCTATTTTTCACCTTCCGTTATGTGGTCCTTCGTTTATGGGAACCTTTCCATGGATAGTCTATTTTTGACCTTCCGTTATGTTGGTGTTATATTGAGGACTAAAAATATAATTTTACTTCGACCCTAGGTCTAGCCAGGTATTTTGGTTTCGGCTTGACAAAGGCCCTGTTCCGTTCAACTTATTTTTTCTTATTCATATTAAAATCAGATCAGATCAGAACAAATCAGATCAAATCAGATCATATCCAATCAGATTAGATCAGATCAGACCAGATCCAATCAGATCATATCAGATGGAATCAAATCAGATCAGATTAGACCAGATCCAATCAGATCAGATCAGATCCAATCAGATTAGACCAGACCAAATCAAATCAGATCTTTTGAAGAATTATTATTATTATTATTATTATTATTATTATTGTTGTTGTTGTTATTGTTGTTGTTATTGTTGTTATTATTATTATTATTCTTAAAAATGAAAAAGAGTAAACTTTAGAAACAAGTTAAATAAAAAACAGAGAAATTAATCCTTAATTATTAGACTTCGAAAAAATTATTTTTAAAATACATTGACAATGTCAATCTATTTCTACTTTTAAAATACATTTTTATTGCTACCTGTAATTTGAGTTTCTAAAGTTTTGATCTTTTATAAGGATGAGATATTTTTAAAAAAATACTATCTCTTCTCTATATTGATTATATATAAATTAAATATTTATTCTAATGTATATATATGAACTAATTATTAAAATATTAAATCAATATTCTTATTTCATAAACAATAATCATCAAATAAAAAATATTATTACATTAAAATATGAATGATTATTCTAATATATAAATTAACTAATTTTATTTTATTAAAAAATAATTATAAAATAAAAAATATTGTTTATATTATACTATGAATTATCATTACAATTTTCACACGTTATTATAAACTCAAATCAAATTATTGATTTGAATTTTAAATCAAATCATAATTAATCAGATCAGATCCAATCAGATCAACCCAGATCAGATCAAATCATATTCAATCAGATCAGATCAGATCAGATTAGATCTAATCAGATCAGATCAGATCAGAACTACAAAAAATCAGATCAGATCAGATAAAATAAGTTGAATGGAACAGAGCCAAAGAACACAATGACAATATCGATCTATGGCTGAGAGCTTGAATTCTGACCGGTGACCACAATTGTGTACTATGGTTGCGGTGTCAGCAACTTTAGCAGACAAATGATACATCAGCACCGACCTCTAGGATTGGCTATGGTAAGAAGGATGTATAATCAATGTGAAATTACATTTTTAGCCCTCAATTTAACACCAATATGATGGAAGGTAAAAAAGGACAATCCGTGAAAAGTTACCCATAAACGAAAGACCATGAATATAATATTTGATAATAGAGGACTAAATATAGAAAACTCACAATTTTAAAAGACCCATTGTTGAATTAACTCTTAGAAATATCTAAGTTACCTAGCCTTATATTCTACAGGTCCACTCAATCAAATACTCCTTCTGTCCTATAAAAAAGGTTACGTTTCATTTTTTTTGCGCACATCTAAAAGGCCTAAAAATTACAACATTTACTCTTTATCATGGATAGGAGTTGTTTTGAAAGTTTTTTTGGTGTTCGAGACAATATAGAAGTATTTTATGGGATGCGTAAAAAATGAAACGTAACCTTTTTTATGGGATGGAGGGAGTAGTCACTATGGAAATTTTTGAAAAAAATGAAAATATCATCGCCTTTAACCTCATTTATACTTAATTTCTCTGGATTGTTATGTTCTAAAACTAGTATTATTTTTTCTTCTTGACAAACAAAAAAACTATGGAGTATATATAAAGTCAGTGGTAGATTTAGGGATATTTTAATCAAGTTGAATCATTAACATACCTCATTTCCCTCCACTTCCATCCTCTTATAGCAGGTTTCTGTCATCGAATATTTCTTTTGTCATTGTTTGAAAGTTTTTGGTTGAAACCACATCTATTTATGCCGAGACTTTCTTTCAAATGATCACCTCTAGGTATTGCCTCTCTGCTTTGAACATAGTTGCAACAAGTTTTCCCTTATTTAATCACTAATCTCTTTGACTGGCCGTGGGAATTCTAGTTTCCCAGAGCAGTTTCTGATGCTTATAATTCCTTAATATTTTTGGGAAATTATTGACGGGAAACCTGCAAAATCAAATGTTAGCTAAATAAAAACCACGAAACATGTTAGGACCATGGGCGGATGCAGGGAGGAGCTAATGGGGCACTTGCCCCCAGTCAATTTCTAAAACAATTAAGCAAAGCAATTTTTTATTTATTGATTAGAAGGTTGCCCCTACTCAAAGTATTAATTTCTCCTGTTAGGCGAAAATGATTTATTTAACTTTAATGCTAACTATTCTCGTAATTTAGTCTAAATTACAAATTATAGATTTAAGTATTTATGCTTTGTTACATTGTTGATTTTACTAAACCTTACATAATTGGAATTTTTTATTCATAATTTTTTTCTTCACTTTCTTTCTGCCCTCCAACTTACTCCACATCTTTTTTCAATATATTTTGTTAATTAAAATTAACAAATAAATATAAAATCTAATCATAGAAAGAATTTTAACTTCATTAAAATATCAATAAAACATGATTGTGGGTAAAATATTTTATTTTCATGATTCTTTTTTGCCTAAAAACAAAAGATAGAATCTGAAGCAGAAACTTTTAAGAGCTTATAACTATTTTGGTCACTCAATAATAATTTTTTTGGGTTTACTCTTTTTTGGTGACTATTTGATAAAATAAAATTTCTTGTTTCACAATATTTTATATAATTTTTTATTTACTTTTCAACAGTGTAATTTAAACTTTTTATTTTTCTACCAATTTATAAATAAGATGCATGACATATTGCATGTTGTTCAAAATATGGTGAACATTTTGAGACGAAGGGAGTAGAAACCAATTATAAAATGCACATTTTTCACATATTAAATAGTTTTATTTAATTTGTTTTACTTCCGTATGTGTGCTGGTCATAGGTGCCCCCAGTGAATTCTTTTTCTGGATCCGCCACTGGTTGGGACGTTCTCAAATAATCATTACCGAAAGGTCAAAAATTTCCCTCAAGATTTAGTGAGCCTTTGGAGATTAGCCGGAATTAGAACTAATGAAACGAAAAGAAATATTATCGCCCAACGATTGAATGAAAAGAAATTAATGGTTATCACACAATGAAAGTCTTCTCTTCTTATTTTTCAAAAAAACTTTATTATTATTAAACTTTTTGTTCCGCTTTCTTAGAATCCTTGATGCTTTATATATATAATTCGCATAACAATTTTGATCCACTTTCTTAAAAACCCTCATGCTTCCTACAATAATAATAATAATAATAATAATAATAATAATAATAATAATAATAATAATAATAATAATAATAATAATAATAATAATTGTAAAAAAAAATAATAGTAATAATAATTCTAAATTTTTTGAAATACTACAACACAAAGAAGGCTCGTATTAACTTCTAAGCCTCAAAGGCATATCGGTGATGCAACAAATTCAAGAACAAATATTAAGAAATAAATATTGAACCACATGAATAAATTCCCGAAAACCCAAAAACATGAACGCATTTGAACAATTAGAAAAATGATATGATTGCATAAAAATGTAGTTCAATTTAGCATTCTCCCAAAAATATGAAAGTTGGGATTTGTCAAAAAGAAAATAAAGTACGACTATCTATCCTTAAAATATATAAAAATGTATGTATATTGCATTGTGAATGGATAAAAAGGATTTGTAGATTAGTGATTGAAAATTTAAACATCAAAGAATTTAAAATCGTGTCACCTGAAACGTATCCATGCTCCGCTGTTGAGATCAAAAGATTAGAGTAGGCCAAAGATTGATGACAAAAATGTTGGTGTTCTTAATTGTTCGTATTTTCTCTTTGGATGAAAAAGAGTGGTAGAGAAAAGAGAGTTCAATGATTGTTTTAATTTCATTCATTCAATGCCCAACAATATCAATGGCCCTAGTCAAGCACTCAAGCAAGCTTCGCTTGAGCTCCACCCAAATTGAAAAATTATTATACTTTTCTTTTTTGAGTTGGATATTTACAAGGAAAATTCAAATAAATATTTCCAAAAAATTGTAGTTTTACGATATTACTCTCAAATGCAATTAATTATATATTTTTCTACACCCAAATTTCTTTTAATATTTACAGCCTTACTCCAGGTTGCCTAATCAACCCAATTTTTATTCCATGTGTAATTGAAGAGTTAGTTTGGATGTTTAGGTGGCTGATTAGTTGTGTTTTCCATTTAAATAATCGGAGTTGAAATAAATATTACTCCGTATGTTCTTTACATTTCATATTCTTTAAAAATGATATACACCCTAAATTAGCCCAAGACATGGTATGGCTTAGGTCAAGTTCTTGTTGTGGAACTGGCGGTTCCAGTCATGATAGGGCTCTCCCTTGTAATCGTCACCCGTCGCCAACGGTGCTGGTGCCAGTTCTGGAATCATCGGTTCCGGTTCGAGTCTGATTCCCGGTCTAAATTTTTTCTTTGTAATTTTAATATGATAATAAATGCTTAAAAAATTATCAAATGTAGATGTTATTTAAATAATGAAAGTTTGATAGTGTATATGTCTCAACTACATTTATTGCTTAGATGGTTCAAAAGAGGCGAAGAGGTAAAGAACCATATAGAAACCTTCGAAAGAACTTATAAATGACTCACATAGAAAAAACTAATTACTCCCTCCGTCCGGGAATGATGTTCCCGTTCTACTCTTTTTTCCGTCCGGAAATGATGTTCCCATTCTACTATTTTTTCACTCCTCTTCCAAAATTACCCTCCTCTTCCTTCTTTTCCTTTTTTCTTTTCCCTTTCCATCTTTTTTCTCCTCCACCCATTTACCCATTTTCCAGGTCTCCTCCATCTCCGTTCCTTCTTCCTCTCTTCAATCTTCTTCTTCTTCTCCTCCTCCTCCTCGTGTCTTTCTCTCCCATCTCTGGTTTTCTTTCTTCAATCTCTTCCTACTCTTCTCCTCTTTCTCCCCCTAACTTTTTATTCTTCTTATCTTCCCCTTCTTTCTCTTCCATCTTTCTTCTAGATCTAGGCATACACAAGGCGGCGGTGATGGCGGCCGACGATGGCGATGGTGAGTCTACACTTCTTCCTCTCTTTCTTCTTTTCTTTCTCCTTATTCTTTCTTTTAGATCTGTACCACGGTGGTGGTAATGGTGGGGCTGGCGCCGATGGCCGGACTGCCGTGGGGCTGTGCCGATGATGGTGTGACTACCGGTGGTAGTCAGCTAGAGATCTACGGTAGTGGTGGGGGTTGGGTGGCGCCGTGGCAGTGGGGTTGGCGGCGGCAGTGGTGCTGGAGCGGCGGTGGGGGTTGGGCCGGTGAGTTCCAGCGGAGGTTGTGAATGGTGGGTAGGGATGGGTGGATATGTGCTAGGGCATTTTAGTCTATTCACTCCTTTAGTCAATGCCTCTTAAAAATGAGGAAAATTCAAAGTGGGAACATCATTCCCGGACGGAGGGAGTACAATTTAAAAAATAAAACTCAGTAAGTCATTCTTCAGAAATACTCCTTCTCCCCGTGGTTGCATCCATGTAGTTTTCTATATCGGTGTCGTATCCTGCCTCTTGTACTCGACGCCTTACCAAGAGCAGATCTCGGTTGAAAACTAATGTCTCCTATGATTCAGTGCTAAAGGAACCCAGGAAGTCAGCCAAAATGTTGCCGCTAGAACTAAACTCTTGTTCCCTGCCTACCATTGACACCGACATAGATAACCCTTTTCTAGCTAGCATTCTGAGTGACAAAAACATGTGTTTATTCTGCTTCCACCATTCGAAAAAATTAAACTCATTTTTTATCATCATCTTAGTCGCAAGAAATGCCTTGGTACATCACAAGTTTGTTGTGTGAATTTATTGTTATACCACATGTATTTGTAGAGGTAGAGACACTCTTACTTTTCTTCACCAAGAGGCCACCAAGTATCTATTTAAAACATTTCATTATCTCTAGGACACGAGGAACTTGTATTTTTCTAGAGGGTTACCATACAAAGCTTGAAATTCATTATATAAATTCTCAAAAAGGTCAATAGTGTTATCTCTTTGTCTTTCTTCTATCCTATTAAATGCTCATAATAATAAATATTCTCGTCTAAAAACAACTATGTTAATACTCCATGAGAATTTTAATATTCTCGGTCTTAAAGCATGAATTACAAATAATACCAATTTTATTATTGTTAGGAATCTACAAGTAATAAGCACACCATCTTTCTTTCACAGGAAACACATAGGGGTACAAGTTTTCATGAGACATACTTTCACAAAAACATGTAGTAATCATAATACACTTAGAAAAGAATTTGTTACTCGTAGTCTTTTAAACATGCAAGAAAGTTAGAATTGCATTATTAAAAACTTCTAACACGTTCAATTTTTCAACAATAATAAATTCATTCAGATAATCACATAATGAAGTTATACTTAAAAATGAAGCAAGTTATTCTTTATGCTTCAACAGTTTTGCGATCAATTTGTAAGTACTATTCCATCTAATCGTAATTTCTTTAGCAAATGTTATTGGTTTTTTACCCCTAGATTTGCAGTAGGACTTCCATGCATTAGAATTCAAACGTCTACTCCAAATTAATTCTAACTCCCCCTTAATGTTGGTCAACCCCCCATAGCCTCTAACCCTTGTTGAATACACAAATTTAGAATATGACATGCACACCTTTAGTTTAGAAACCTACCCATGGCACTGCTAGAGGGGACAAATTTCTCTAAGTCTAGGAATGGCAGGGGAGTTATTAGTAGCATTATCAAAGCCAAATGTAAACACTTAATCAAGTAAATTTTATTTTTTCTGAATACGCTCAAGCAAAAGAACAATATTGTCACCCGTATGGGATTCATTATAATCACGAAAAGCAAGAACACGTTTATGCATCATCCAATCACTATCTATCCAATGACGAGTAACACTCATGTAGGACAAGTTATGATATGTTTCACTCCAAATATCAGAACAAATAGTTACACAAGATTTTAAAGTAAGAAAAAAGTTAGACAAATTATTTTTTTCAACATTATATTGTCTAATTATTTCTCTCGTAATTGTATTTTTTGAAAAACGACATTTTTCAATACATTTTAACAATAATCAATAAAGCCACATTTTTCAGATGACATGTAAAGCAAATTTTCTTCACAATTTCATCTCTGTCATTCTTTGTTTATTTTTCTCATTGCTTTAAACAAAGAGGTCGCCCTTAATCTTATTGACAAACCGAGAATTCTGTGTTTATTTTCCTTTTCCTAGCATTTTGGTGAACTCCACGGTGTGCCTCTATTTGAAGTGTTTTGTCACGGAACCATAACCTCTGGAGATCCCCATATTTATCAACGCCACATAGTGTTTTCAAGTTCCCCAAACAATGCCATTTTTTGTTTCTTTTGAAAACTTATCTATAAATAAATCAGACTTATAAGTTTTTTTACCTTTCCCTAGACATTTAGAGGTTTCGGGCTAACCTGTATCCCCGGTATGTACCTTTCTCTTGGGTGTTGGTTCTTGCATCTCCTCATACTCCTCGTCCTCAAAGAAATCGTCAAGAGTTTTAAGACACATTATTCCGCGAACCCAATAACTGATCAAATTCTTGGTCGTCCATTACGTTGGCTAGATATGCCTCTGAGATTCTCGTAAAAATCGAGAGAGGGTTTCTTGGTTGGGAGATATGTGAGCTTGAATTTTCGAACGTGGTGGTGCCTTTGCTTCTCTTTGAAATTCTTTGGTTCAAATATCGCCATATCGACGAGCCTTCTTTGCGACATTTTGAATTATATAAACATTAAGATAGATAATACAATGATACAATATATTTATATTATAATGTTCTAATATGAATAATATATTATACATTTATAATATGAAATTATTATTTTATTATAATATATTTAAAATATTTAAAATATATTAATATATTTATAAAAATTATATGAATATATAAGAAAATAGACAAGAGTATGAGAGATAGAGGGATTAGAGAAGGATCGTGTAAACTTTTGAAGAAAAAACTATAGGTATTTATATAATTATTTTACCCTCACCCACCCCCTAGCCCTACCAAATGGCTTTATAGCTGTTGGGATGGTCATGCCAATCTCAGAGACTGCAAAAGCCAATCCCCTGACCACTTACTTTATAATAAAAAGTTCAAATAGGCTAGGACTGGACCAGACCTGGAACCGCTAGTTCCGATACCTCCCCTGATATTTGGTTACACCCTAAGAGGGGGGTGAATTAGAGTGTTTATTATATTTTCACAAAGTAAAAACTTAAACGAACGTATAGAGCGGAAAAAGAGAAATGAAAATAATAGGAAAGAAAAGAGCACGACACAATGATTTTATACTGGTTCGGGAACTCCCTATTCTAGTACCTCGAGGCTCCTCCTCAAAGATTTAACCTCCATTAACTTGTTTTGCTTCCCTAAGAAGACTTAAACGAGATTTGGCAAATAATAACCCTTGCCAATAAGTAATGAGATTTTACAATGGCTATCTCGACCTGTTTACAAATGAAGATTTTAAGGCTATATTCAACCTTTCAACTCAATGAGGATTTGGAGGTTATCCACACCTTTTACAAAATAAGAGATCTATGGTGTTGCCTATCTACCAAAAAATAAAGAATATGAGTTGGGTAGGAGAAGAACAAAATATGAAATCAACAACAACAACAACCTATGAGAAAGATATAAAATAATGAATCAAAAATGCTCTTGAGTGTGAGTGTATAAAAATAATGAGAGCTCAAACTCAAAAGAGAAGAAAGTAAAGAATAAAGTTTAAGAACACTAAAAAAATAGTATAATAAGGCTTTCGAATGTTAAGGGATGTTTTTGTATGAAAAATGCGACTTAGAGGGGGTTTATATAGGGTTTTGGAAGGTTAAAAGTGATTAGGATACGTTTAGGACCGTTGGAGAGTGATTAGGGGTAATTTAAATCTAAAATCACCAATCAGCTATACTGCAGGCAACGGTCATGGTACGCTTTACAATAGGGAGGTACCGTGGCCATGGTATAGCCTACCGCTAGGGGTACCACCAAAAGATTCAAAACTCTCTGGCGGAACCTTTCTCAAGACGGGACCCTCTTCCGGTTTGTAGATACTGGCAGTATCTAGGTACCGTGTATACGGTATAGAGGTACTGTTAGGTCAACTTTTCATTTTACAAAACTTGATTTTGGTATTTCATTTTCAAAATAACCCCTACTATAAAAAATTTCATATATTATAAAATATATTTTAAGTGAAAGGGCATAAGTGAATCATCTAATAGATCATTACCCTTATAAATAAAATTTCTACACTCTTAGGAGTACTTCTCGGTGATGCTAATCAAGTTAGGGAGGTTGGGAGTTTGGTTTTTCTTGCAAAAAATGTTAGTACCTGTGGAAGACTTATTTGGCACATTAAAACGGATACGAGGTACGGAATTCAAGGCCAACAATCTCCCCCTTTTTGGTGTTGACAAATAAGGCTTTCAAATATCACAAACGCACAAACATAACTTGAAAGCATATTTAGTTTTGAAAACTCCCCCTAAGTTTATGCACTTAGGTTTTTCACAAAAACTCTCCCTAAATACATGCATATGAAAGCCTAATACTTCTCCCCCTTTTGGCAATATTAAAAAAGGCGGGGTAGTAACATATCATAAATAGGCATTCAAGATAAGTATGAGCAACCATTCAAGCATGAAATCCAAAGCATACCATATATAATTACAATGGACTTTGTGATTGAACTTTCCTGAATGAAAGTGGAAAGGGATTACAATGGACTTTGTGATTGAACTTCCCTTGTCAGTCAGGAAGAATGATGTTGTCTGGATATTAGAGGACTGATTGACCAAGCAAGTCAGCTCATTCCATACCGATCTCATGAGACACGTTATTGAAAAGATTATCAAAGTTGTAGATCTGTGAAATTATGAGATTGCACGGAGTACCTTTTTCTATCATTTCAGGGCGTGACCCACGATTTACATCACAATTTTGGAAGAGCCTGTAGAAAGCAATAGGTTCTAAACTTAATTTCAGCACCGCATTTCATCCTCAGACAGATGGACAGTCTGAGAGGACAATGTTGGAACACACTTTGCACGTTTAACTAAAGTCGTGTTCATTTCTAACAGGTTTTGATAATTGCCAAACCGCCGTGGATATGAAGAGTTTCGTTGAATAAATCAATGCGTGAAGAATGGCATGGAACAAGACCTAAAAGACTCAAGGACAAAGATCAAGAATTGAAGACTTAGTCGAGTCGGTCTTTTGTGATCAAAACCGACAATCAATTCAAGTCTCGGTTCTCAAAGAGTCAAAATTATTTTACAATATCATAAAATGTTTTTATGCATCAAAATAAACATTTTAGATAAATCTTTTAATTGTTAAAATCCCAGGTCCTTGCTCAGAACCAAAATCACCTAAGTCGGCGTACGGTGTTCGGCGTTTGGTTTTTGGCGCCCGAACCAACTCCGTGGTTTTCTATGTTTTTAAACCTTGTTTTTATCTCTGAGCATATTTAAAAGGTTCTCAAATAATTATTTCATAAAAAACACTTTTGTATCTTGGTCAATCGGTCTAACACGTGAAAAACGGTCAAAACCGTACGCACGTGATGTACGACCTTGGAGACTTGGTTTTTACCGAACAAGTCTTGTTTTCACTATTTTATACCATATACAATGTTTTTCAAACTTGGTTTTTACTTTTGGGAACACTTCGTTTTTGGACCTCGGTTTTTCAAAACGGGTTTCAGCTTTAGCTGGGTAATAATCGATTATCACCTTAGTGACAATCGACTATCAGCCCCTGCAGCTTTGGAACTCCAAAGTTCTGAAGCACGCAATAATCGATTATCACTTATGCAATAATCGATTATCAACCTGTGCAGCCAAAACCCAGAAACTTCTGAGAGGACCAATAATCGATTATCACTCGTTGACAATCGATTATCTGGGTTACCGTTGTCCTCCAACGGATAGATTTTTAAACTTTTGGACAGGGAATCTTTTAATAATCGATTATCATGTTTAGACAATCGATTATCACCCTGCAACTCTGAAAAATTTGTCTTCATCCTGTTGGAAAATTTAGCAATGGTTTTATCCCATTTTGGGCTATAAAATGGCACCCAAATCCTCTCATTTTACACACAATTCTTCAACATTTCAATACTCTTTCATTGCATAAGCATTCCTATTTTTCTAAGCTATTTGAGAGCCAATTCTTGAAAAATTGTCGTGTTCTTGAGCGTATACTAGTTCACTCAAATCTACTCTTTGTGAGAGTTTTATTCCTGAGTGGTTAAGTGTTTTCATACACTTTAAGGGAGGTTGTTCCCTTGTTGTAAACTCGAAGGAAGTTCTTTGTTCCTTCGTGAGAAGTCTTGGAGTGTGGTATCTCCGAGCAAAGGCGTTGAGGCTCGTGTGACTCGAATTCTCAAGTTGTATCGGTTTGTTAAGCACCCTTAAGCTTAAACGGAGTTAGTGTAGCTCGAGAGAGTCTCTCGGGAGGCTGGATTAGCCACACGTTGTGGTGAACCAGGATAAAATTCGGTGTGCTTCTTCCTTACACTCTTTACTTTAACGCTCTCGTTTTTAAATTCCTGCGATTTTGTTTTAAACGCTATTCACCCCCCCTCTAGCGTTGGGCCTTTATTCTAACAATTGGTATCAGAGCCTTACTCTCTGAAAGACTTAACCGTTTGAGAGAAACGATCAATGGCTTCTACTCAAAACTTATACGCAGGTTTAGGAGAAGGGCAATCCACCACGAGGCCTCCATTATTTGATGGAACGAATTACACATATTGGAAGGAGCGGATGAGAATTTTCATCCAATCAAACAACTTTCTCCTATGGAGAATTATCAAGAATGGGGAAGAAGTGCCCATGAAGAAAGTTGGGGAAACCACCGTTCCCAAAACCGAAGACGAATACGATGCACAGGATATCAAGAAAATAGAGAACAACGCCAAGGCTATCAACATTCTTTACTGTGCAGTAAATCCGGATGACTACCGGAAAATTTCATATTGCTCGACCGCTAAGGATATGTGGGACAAACTAGAAATCACATATGAAGGTACGAATCAAGTCCGAGAAGCTAAGATAGATTTTCTAACCCATGAATATGAATTGTTTCGTATGAAGGAGAATGAGAAAATCGATGAGATGTTTGAACGATTCTCCAAAATCGTTAATGATCTCCATGCTCTCAAGAAGACATACACGGACAAGGAGCTTGTGAGAAAAATCCTGCGAAGTCTCACACCCGAGTGGCGCTCTAAAGCCGATGCCATTCAAGAATCTATCGGCATCACCAACGTCACCATCGACGGACTAAAAGGTAATCTCAAAACCTACGAGTATACCATTCTTTATCCCTCTCTAGGTGAACAAAAGAAGAATGGGATCGCCCTCAAAGCATCTACAAGCCAAGAACGTGCCATGGAAGACACGAGTGACGAAGACGAGTTCGGGATCGTGCTCAAGAAATTCCATAAGTTCATGAGCCAAGAGTATGAACGGAAAGGAAAGAAGCAAGGAGGTCCACCCAAATGCTATGGGTGTGGAGAAGTTGGGCATATAAAACCAAAATGTCCAAACGCCAAGAACAAGAAGAAGGTGTTCAAGAATCACCGAGCCTACATCTCATGGGGAGGTGATTCCGGTGACGAGTCATCGGAAGGCGAAGAAAATGAAAGCGCCAACCTTTGCCTCATGGCACACGAGGAACCACCGGAAGAGGTATGTACCACTTCTAAAGATTCCTATACTTTTGATGATGTACAAGAAGCCTTTAATGAACTTTATGATGAATATGTCAACGCTTCTAAAACTAACAAGGATTTGAAGAAACAACTTACTTCCATGGAGAAGGAAGTTGATAAACTATCAAAAGATCATGAAAAACTTAAAGAAGAAAATAAGTTTTTCGGAAAAAGAAGCGCCGAAAAACCGGATAGTTCAAAATGTAGCTCTTGTATATCACTTAAGGAACAAGTTGCAAAACTTGAAGGAACTTTGAAGAAGTTTGGTGTTTCTCATAAAAACCTTAATGATGTTCTTGACAATTTGCAACTTACTAAACATGGCTTAGGTTTTAAAAATGAACCTAATAATAAGGAAAAAGTTGAGCAACCATCTAGGAAACCTAAAGCTCAACTTAGGAATAATGAAAATCAAGAAAATAGACAACCTAGAACAATTAGGAACACTAGACCACCTAGAAAGAACACTAGGATGAACAATGGTCAAGTTATTAAACCTAGCAACTATTATCAACCTAGGAGAATGCATAATCCAAATGTTATTTGTCATTATTGCAATAGGGTAGGTCATATAGCACCCGTGTGTTTTAGTAGGCATAGGCATTGCACGTATAACAAAACACACACTTTGCATGGAACTAACCCAATGAAATCCTTTGAAAAAGGATATTCGATTTCTAACCAATCCCTGCAGGAATCAACGCAAAAGAAGCCATATTACTTCTTCTATTATGATGAAAAGAAGAAGATTCACATACCACTTCCAGAACCCACACAAATCAAACCGAGGTATAGACATTCGGTTCGAGTAGACTGGAACCCGCCAACCGCAAAACGACAAGTTGGCCAAGGTAACACTTAAACACGCGTGTTGGTACGTGTGTGTGTGTGTGTTTGCGTAAAATGTGTATGTAATTATGGGTGCGTGTGTTTATTAGTTTAAAAAGTCGTGTTACTAATCCTCTAGGACCCAAAAGACCAAACGGGTATCAAATGTTTTTATTTTCAGGTGTCAAAGTCAGGGGGAACAAAGTAAATCGATTTTCTTTACAAAACATGCTGTAAATCGATTTACAGGCTTGTGATAATCGACTATCACAGCCCGTAGAAGTTTGGAGCAAAACAGGCGCAAACCTCAAAAATCGATTATCATATTTAGGATAATCGATTATCTGAGCCTGCAGGAGTTTGAGGAAACTTAGCTGGAGACCTCAACAATCGATTTGCAACCAGGCAGAAATCGATTATTAAAGCCTGCAGTTTCTTTGGCAGAGAATCTGAAGACTCGGACAATCGATTTACAGGGAGTGTAAATCGATTATCAACGGCGATTTTTCAAAAATCTGACCGTTGCAGAGACGTTGGAGGAGCATTTAAACCTTGTTTGACCGGATCTCTACACCTCTTCCACTATATAGTGGTGATGAAGAGGAAGACGAAGACATTGACGAAGAACAGCTTCTCAATGATCTTTCACCAGACTTCTAGAGCTCTAGCTCTATTCCCTTCTCTTCTTTATTCTTTTTATGCTCCTTAAATTTGCTTCTGTTATGTACTCCGCTATTTCCCTTAATTAATTAATAAAAATCTTATGGTTTTTGTTATTAAAAATCTTTTTGTTAATGTCAAAAGGGGGAAGATAAGGGCTATGCATATTTTCAGGGGGAATTTTATTAAGGGGGAATTTTTTTTCAAAAAGAACAAAATCCTATGCATATCCCCGTCTTGTTTGCCATTATCAAAAAGGGGGAAATTGTTGGAACACACTTTGCACGTTTAACTAAAGTCGTGTTCATTTCTAACAGGTTTTGATAATTGCCAAACCGCCGTGGATATGAAGAGTTTCGTTGAATAAATCAAGGCATGAAGAATGGCATGGAACAAGACCTAAAAGACTCAAGGACAAAGATCAAGAATTGAAGACTTAGTCGAGTCGGTCTTTTGTGATCAAAACCGACAATCAATTCAAGTCTCGGTTCTCAAAGAGTCAAAATTATTTTACAATATCATAAAATGTTTTTATGCATCAAAATAAACATTTTAGATAAATCTTTTAATTGTTAAAATCCCTGGTCCTTGCTCAGAACCAAAATCACCTAAGTCGGCGTACGGTGTTCGGCGTTTGGTTTTTGGCGCCCGAACCAACTCCGTGGTTTTCTATGTTTTTAAACCTTGTTTTTATCTCTGAGCATATTTAAAAGGTTCTCAAATAATTATTTCATAAAAACCACTTTTGTATCTTGGTCAATCGGTCTAACACGTGAAAAACGGTCAAAACCGTACGCACGTGATGTACGATCTTGGAGACTTGGTTTTTACCGAACAAGTTTTGTTTTCACTATTTTATACCATATACAATGTTTTTCAAACTTGGTTTTTACTTTTGGGAACACTTTGTTTTTGGACCTCGGTTTTTCAAAACGGGTTTCAGCTTTAGCTGGGTAATAATCGATTATCACCTTAGTGACAATCGACTATCAGCCCCTGCAGCTTTGGAACTCCAAAGTTCTGAAGCACGCAATAATCGATTATCACTTATGCAATAATCGATTATCAACCTGTGCAGCCAAAACCCAGAAACTTCTGAGAGGACCAATAATCGATTATCACTCGTTGACAATCGATTATCTGGGTTACCGTTGTCCTCCAACGGATAGATTTTTAAACTTTTGGACAGGGAATCTTTTAATAATCGATTATCATGTTTAGACAATCGATTATCACCCTGCAACTCTGAAAAATTTGTCTTCATCCTGTTGGAAAATTTAGCAACGGTTTTATCCCATTTTGGGTTATAAAATGGCACCCAAATCCTCTCATTTTACACACAATTCTTCAACATTTCAATACTCTTTCATTGCATAAGCATTCCTATTTTTCTAAGCTATTTGAGAGCCAATTCTTGAAGAAATTGTCGTGTTCTTGAGCGTATACTAGTTCACTCAAATCTACTCTTTGTGAGAGTTTTATTCCTGAGTGGTTAAGTGTTTTCATACACTTTAAGGGAGGTTGTTCCCTTGTTGTAAACTCGAAGGAAGTTCTTTGTTCCTTCGTGAGAAGTCTTGGAGTGTGGTATCTCCGAGCAAAGGCGTTGAGGCTCGTGTGACTCGAGTTCTCAAGTTGTATCGGTTTGTTAAGCACCCTTAAGCTTAACGGAGTTAGTGTAGCTCAAGAGAGTCTCTCGGGAGGCTGGATTAGCCACACGTTGTGGTGAACCAGGATAAAATTCGGTGTGCTTCTTCCTTACAGTCTTTACTTTAACGCTCTCGTTTTTAATTTCCTGCGATTTTGTTTTAAACGCTATTCAACCCCCCTCTAGCGTTGGGCCTTTATTCTAACAGACAATTCAAAATTTAGAAGATATGATGAGAGCCTGTGTTATCAACCTTGGAAAAACTGGGAACAAAACCTACCATTGATGGAGTTTGCTTATAATAATATTTATCAAGCTACCAACCAAATGGCTCCATACGAAGTATTGTATGGAAGACGCTGCAAAACTCCTGTTTGTTGGACAGAACTGAGTGAACGGAAACTTGAAGGACCCAACTTAGTCCATGAAATGGAAGAAAAAGTTCGCTTGATCAGAGATAGATTACAAGTTTCTTCAGACCGACAAAAATCCTATTCCGACTTAAAACATCATGAGATTGAATAAAATGTGGACGATATGGTGTTTATAAAAGTGTCACCATGGAAAAAGGTACTAAGATTTGGAAGGAAGGGAAAACTGAGCCCAAGGTATATTGGACCCTATCGAATCACGGAACGTGTGGGACCAGTAGCCTATTTGTTGGAACTACTGCAAGAATTAAACAAAATCCACGATGTATTCCTCGTTTCTATGTTGAAACGTTATCGTTCACATCCATCACATGTATTGATGGAAATGTGACCCTTGATAAACGTTTGACCTACGAAGAAGAACATGTTCAGATACTGGCACGAGAAGTGAAAGAATTGAGAAACAAATCTGCCCCATTGGTCAAAGTACTCTGGAGGAATTAGGAAACCGAAGAATCAATGACAACCCAGTGCCCGAATCTCTTAAGACACTAAGAACTTAAGTAATTTCGAGGATGAAGTTATTTTAAGGGGGAGAGAAATGTAACGCCCCGAAAATATCTCACGATTAAAATTACAATAATTCAAAGTTGTATCGTAATGAAATGCTCCCTCCGTCCTGTAATAATCTTCTATAATTAACCAAGTACAACGATAAAGAAAAATAAAATTGTATGGTAGAAAGTGGTAAAGAGGATAGAGAAGTAAATAATAGCCACAACAGCTCTTCCAAAAGTGTAATTGATTTTTTTCTCGGGAAAGATAAAAAAGTTGTAAAATATTATCACGGGACGGAGGGCTAAAACATAAAAGAAATCAACCCAAATAGAAGTAAAATATAGCATTTGTCCTCAAAATTAGGGTTTGATGTTTTTATCTCCCAAATAGAGTTTATATCGTGATATTTTATGGCACTATATAGTGGTATTTTATTATATTTTTTGTACTATATATAGTTATTATTGGCATTGTACCTCTATTTTAGATATAAAAACATAGAGCTCCTATTTTGATATTTCTTTCATGTTTTATTTTAGTTATTTACTTAAAGTTTTAAGAGAAAAAGACTACTAATGTTGCGTTCCGTTCGCTTGATCAGATTTTAATTATCTGATCTGATTTTTTAAAGTTCTAATCTGGTCTGATCTGATCTGATAGGATGTCATTAGGTCTGATTGGATCTGATCTCACCTAATCTGATATTGTTTGATCTGATCTGATTGATCTCATCTAAAATACATTTGATTTAAATTTAAATTAAATTTATTATTATAATAGTTAAAACAATAGTAGTTACAGTATTAATAGAATTATTAATAATAGTAATAATAATAGAAATAATAATAATAATAATAATAATAGTAATGATAATAATAATAATAATAGAAATATTAAAATGGTAATAATAATAATAGAAATAGAAATAATAATAATAGTAACAGTAATAATTATAATAAGGATAGTAATAATTATAATAACTACAATAATAATAATGCTAACAATAGTAATAATAATAATAATCATAGTTATAGTAATAATAATAATAGTAACAATAATAATATTATTAATAGTAATATTAATTATATTAATAATCTGGTATGATCTGATTTTCTGTTCTAATCTGATTTTAATAAGAATAAGTAATAAGCAGAAAAAAAGTTGAACAGAACGCTGCCTAAATTGAGATTAAAACATAAAAAAAGTATCAAAGTAAGAGCTCCAACAATGCAAATAATACCAAAAAAATAGAGTAAGTTGAGGAAAAATAATATGCTTTATTTCTATTTGAGTTTATGAAACAAAGCCTAATTTATCTCATGTCAGTACTCAGTAACCGTTCGGGCGGATGTGAGAGAATGGGACAAATGGCATCAAAGTTACTCTTTAGAGACAAAGGATAAACCTACTTGTAATCCAAGAATTTGTATCTCATTTTGTACACAGCAGGGATGCACCAACATTTTGTATTGGTGTAATGCTAATTTTTGTTAACGCATCAATACTTTGTGTCAGTGTAAATTTTTGTTAACGCAACAACATTTTTTGTTACTATGAAAGGATATGCTAGGGGTACACCAAAGGTGTACCCCAAATGTACACCACCCTCCTTTTAACCATTCTTTTTATTTTATTTTTATTTTTTATTTTTTTTAAATTTTTCTTGCCTTTTTTGTGTGGTGATGGAGGGGGTGGGAATGTTTGGGGTACACTTTTGGTGTACCCCTAGCATTTTCCTCATCAAAATGTTGGTGTGTACCTTTAATGTACAAATGGGGTACAAATTTTGGGGTACATGTGATAGGGAGAAAGACTAAAGTAGGACTAAAACATTGAAAATATACCAAAATAGTACTTTCATGTCTTTATTCCCGAAATAGGACTTACATTACCAAACATGGTCATATACATTACCAAAAAGGTATAGTAATGTGCACATGTACACTGTCACATTACCACAGTGCAAAGTCACATTACCACAGTGCAAAGTCACATTACCACAGTGCAAAGTCCTATTTTGGGAAAAAACATGAAATTCTTATTTTGGTACGTTTTCTATATTTTAGTCATATTTAAGGTGATTTCTATGTACTACGGAGTATATTCTTAGAGACAAATATGTTCTTAGAGACAAATGGCATCAAAATTACTGTTTAGATCCTTTGAAAAAACACGGTTTCGAACTTCGAAGACTTTATTGTGCAGGCAGTGACTCGTGAACCCACAAAAACTAGAGAAAGAACAAATAGAGAGCAATAGAAGTAGCAGCAGCAGCTGGATGTGGTAGAAATGGCAGATGTTTTGGGGGTATTATCAACTGCGGCTCTGCTAGTCTCAGCCATGGCTTTCCAGTTGATTTTAGCTGTCAATGCCGACATAGCTAGCAGTATGTTCATCTACTGGGGCGGCGCCAATCATTCCATGATTCAAGGCGATGATCTTCAGCTCGTCCTCGACCAAATCTCAGGCAAACTTTAATTTTTTTTAATGAATCTCTATTTTTCTCTATTTCGTAAACGTTCCTTTAATTCATATTCATATGCCCGGATACTCCCTCTTCCGATCTGTGGTTCTCAAGATTTAAGAGAACTGAAAATGTTAATTCGCACCATCCAGTTTTTTTCCAAGAAAAAATGCCAATACTCCGTAATTGCTTAGTCAAAAAGTGTTGGAGAAAAGGTAGGAATTAGGAAATCTAAAAAGTCATTGTGCTCTAATGCTTTTTAAATCAGAGTTCAGAAAAGTTGTTGCTCCCTATTACGGAGTACTCCGTATTTTGGGAGGAACAAAGAATATCATTATTTAAAATTTTTAATGCAATTAGTATTAATTTAGAAAATAACCCACCCTCACCATAATGTCTCAATGTCACTCTAAACTCTGAAATTAACTAATCCTAATGTTAAGAAGCCAACT